AGTCACTTGATGAACTGATAATACTTATTACAAGGTTTGTGTTGTACAAGAATTCAGTAAAAACGGGTGGAGGGAGGGGAAAAAAAGAATTCAGTAAAAACATTCTCAGTGTGAGCCATAAAAACATTCTAGGTTGTACTATGCAGCCAAATGGATTTACAAAGAGCAGCCTCAGATGTAATGTTGCCTTATTAGGTTTCAGTAAAGAGGTCAGGAAGAGATAGTTTCCATATGAACAAAGAGGATTTGTTCCCTAGAGTATGATGTTAATACTTTTCCTGGGAGTCTATAGGGTTTTCATAAACTTTCAAAAACTTTGAAGGGGAGAATGAATTAAATGATAAAAGACTACTCAAAAATCTCCAACTTTACACAGAAACCGCTTGATTCACACATTTCTTGCAAGAGTACCTAATATTTGCCAAACACAGGTCTTTGCCTAGGGTTCCAGTGACCTAAATTGGACAATTAGGTGCAAATTTCAGAGACCAAAAAACTAAGATTCTGTATTAATAGTAAAGGTGGTATTCAATTCCCAAACTGTGTTCATCTGCTACACCAATTCCAGCCTGTGAGACACTGAGGAGACACTTCTAGAAGGGACTCTCTGGGTAAGATTAGAAGACAAGTACATAAGGAAAACCAGAGAGGGACAAGGCAGAGCAGAGAAGAGTTATATCTATCTATCTATATATCTATCTATCTGTCTATCTATCATCTATCATCTATCTATCATCTATATCACTCAAAGACTTGCAAAAAGGTGTTAAAGAGTTAATGCTCACAGAACATGGTAAAATGAAAAGACATGAGACTAGTCCTGGACCACTTTCCTTGCTGTCATATGTAGTTGGGGTTTTGTCCCAGGGACAATGGGAAGCCATTGAAAGATTTCAAAGCAAATGAGTAGCATTATTAAATTTGCATTTTGAAAGACTACTCTAAAAAGTAAGTAGGGTTTCCCATGGCATATAAAGAGGAAGGGAAACATAGTGAACATTTCATGTTACAAATGTCCCTCTCTCCCACAAATTATCTGAAAGTGTTCCAAACGTATTTATAGAATTGATTTTTAAATACTGTTTTTCTTTGTATTCTTTTGCACTGAAAAAGTCATCACAAATTGCTCTTCAATATTGAAATAACAAATATAAATGCTTTTTGTCCACCATTTCATGCAGACTACTGACCCTATCTTGTACTCAATTCTTGTACAACACAAGCCATGTGATAGAAACTATCAGTTCATCAGGGGGTTGTTGCTTCCATCCTCAATGCTCTGCCTATGGACATGGTAGAAAGATGTTATAATTGGGAAATTATATTAGAGGATGGGGAAGGGAGAGCATTAAGTTGATATATTCTGCTGCTTACTCTATCATGTGCAGATTAGAGAAAGGAGAAACGAAAGGTAAGAGATCTGTAGGGAGTCATCGAAGAAATTCAGGTAAGAAAAAATGAGATCCTAGGCTAAGGCAGAAGAAGCAGAAATGGAGATGAAGTCTTGGCAAATGTGATGAAAAGTTAATAAGAAATTTATGTGGTTGTCAGACCACACATTTATGTGGTTCTCACACACACATTGTTTGTGTGTCAGGGACAATACACAGTACAGGCGAAAGACCAGGTCTGTGGGAGAGAGAGGATTCAAGGAGCAATGAGAAATGACCTTTGAACAGTATATTTTCAAGTGTCCTGTGCACTGTTGTGGGAATGTAACCATTGTGGGAAACAGTATGGTGGTTCTTCAAAAAATTAAAAACAGAATTACCATAAGATCCAACAATTCTACTTCTGAGTTTATATCCAAAAGAAGAACAAGCAGGGTCTTGGCAAGATACACCTATGTTCATAGCAGCATTTTCACAATAGCTAAAACACAGAAGCAATACAAGTGTCCACTGACAGAACAGATAAACAAAATGTGATGTATACACACAATGAAATATTCTTCAGCCTTAGAAAGAAACTGAAATAAACCAGTTACGAAAAGACGAATGCTGTATGATACCACTTACATGAGTTACCCTAGAACAGTCAAAATCACGAGGACAGAAAGTAGGATGGTGGTTGTTAGGGGTTGTAGGGAAAGGAGAACAGAGAGTTATTAATACCTATGGATTCCGAGTTTTGCAAGAAAAGAGTTCTGGAGATGATGGTATTGGCTGTACAACAACATGTACTTAGTACTACTGAACTGTACACAGAAAAGAGTGAAGATGGTAAATATTATGTTCTGTATTTCACCGCAATAAAGAAATTAAGATAGAAAACAACAAAAAAAGTCATCTACAAATATTTATGTGTAAGGTTACTGAGCATAACATTTAGTTGGAATAAAAAGTACAAATGAGGGGCGCCTGGGTGGCTTGGTCGGTTAAGCGTCTGACTTCGGCTCAGGTCATGATCTCGCGGTCCGTGAGTTCGAGCCCCGCGTCGGGCTCTGTGCTGACAGGTCAGAGCCTGGAGCCTGTTTCGGATTCTGTGTCTCCCTCTCTCTCTGCTCCTCCTCTGTTCATGCCCTGTCTCTCTCTGTCTCAAAAAAATAAATAAACGTTAAAAAAAAATTTTTTTTTAATTAAAAAAAAATCATGAAAAAAAAAAGTACAAATGAGCCTAATGGCCAATAATGAGAGTTTATTTAAGCAAAGGTTACACATTATGCTTTAGAATAAGACTTAGTGCTGGGAAAAATGGCTAAGTGCATGTCGATGGCAAAGCGGATCACAATTCAGTAAGTACAGCATGAACCCAACTTTGTGATGCCTAGTGACATGGCTTAGAACAGAAACATTTGGAAAGACATATACTAATACCCTTTCTCCATACTTTTCCAGATTTTATAAATTATCTGCAATTATCTACAATAATTATACCTTGATTTTATGTTAGAAATTATATATAAAAATGTGAATAAGTCTACACAAAGAAAAATGTGAATTTTACTAAAAATATGAACCAGCCTACATAAAAGAGATATATAAATGTCTAATAAGCATGTGGGAAAAGTCTCACCTTGCTGGTAATTAAATGCAAATTGAAACAATTACAGATTATTAAACTGAGCGAATTAAAAAGCCAGTTCCCATCAGAGTGCCCTCATCTCCTCCTCTAGTGGCAGTTAATTGTTACAGGCTTCGGAACAACTGTTTACTAATATGACTCCATTTCAAGCTTCCTTAATAAGAGAGAGACTGAGGGAAACTCCTGATATCCAAGGAAGAGTTAAAAAATCGGGCCACAAAAAGGACAAGGATACAGCTCATGCACCACTGAAATTGGGAACTCTACTACAATTAGGACACTATCTGTGTTTCCATAAGTGAACTTCATTTCCCCCTTCATCGCACATTGACTTGCTCTGCAGAGTGGAAATGAAGGCCTCTGGCCCTAGCCAACAAACTGTAGCTCTAGAAACAGAGTTAAATCAGCATATGGAAGGTTCTTTTGGAAATCGCATGTTAGAAACCGGTGAAGTGAAATTTCCAGAAGCAGCAGCTGGGAGAGACTGCACAGCCCAAACAACAGGTATCAACCACATACAAGATCCTTTACATTTGTAACCTTTGACACAAGTCTTATAACCATCTCAAGGAGATAATTAAGAATACTGATGCATGGGGCACCTGACTGGCTCAGTCGGTAGAATATGCAACTCTTGATCTTAGGGTTGTAAGTTTGAGCCCCACATTGGGTGTATAGATGACTTAAAAATAAAATCTTTAAAAAAAGAATATTGACTCAAAGATATGTATCATAAGAAAAACTGTGCACACACACACATACATATACATACATACATATAAATTATAGCACAGCCACCTTACAAGAGTAGCTTAAACTTTGACATTTTTCGCAACACCACTCACCATCAGTAGAGAAGAGCCTGACAAAGGGTGACCAAAGCCTTCTCATGAATATTCTCTGGCTCCCCCATTTTCATATGTGGCTTCGCACAATTGCATACGCAAGACTGCAAAGTTGTGTACCTTTAGCAATTTAAATATCTTTAGGAATAATTGACCATATTTCTTCCCCCCAAATATCTCATAGGAAATGGAAAAATGATAAAGTAACACCACATCTGGAGGACAATTATGGCAGCCAAAAGTCTTTTTTACACATTCCTTAAAGAATATACTAAGAAAATCATCGTTATAAAATACCTGTATGTCAAGAATAGTCAACTGAGAATCAGTTTGGTCACATTCATTATTATTTATTTTTAAATAGTTTGTAAATAGTGTTTTTTTAATTTATTTAAAAAAATTTTCCTAGCAGTGCTCCATCAACTGATGAATGGATAAAGAAACTGTGGTTTATATACACAATGGAATACTACTTGGCAATGAGAAAGAATGAAATATGGCCTTTTATAGCAACATGGATGGAACTGCAGAGTGTTATGCTGAGTGAAATAAGTCATACTGAGAAAGACAGATACTGTATGTTTTCACTCTTATGTGGATCCTGAGAAACTTAACAGAAGACCATGGGGGAGGGGAAGGAAAAAAAAAGTTAGAGAGGGAGGGAGCCAAATCATAAGAGACTCTTAAAAACTGAGAATAAACTGAGGGTCGATGGGGGTGGGAAGGAGGGGAGGTGGGTGATGAGCATTGAAGAGGGCACCTGTTGGGATGAACACTGGGTGTTGTACAGAAACCAACTTGACAATAAATTTCATTTAAAAAATTAAAATTAAATAAATAAATAAATAAATAAATAAATTTTGTAATGTTCAGTTATTTTTAAGAGTGACAGAGACAGAGAGAAAGTGGGGGAGGGGTAGAGAGAGAGAGAGGGAGACACAGAGTCCAAAGCAGGCTCCAGGCTCTGAGCTGTCAGCACAGAGCCCAACGCGGGGCTCGAACTCACAAACCTGCGAGATCATGACCTGAGCTGAAGTCAGAGGCTTAACCAACTGAGCCACCCAGGCGTCCCTGTAAATAATGTTTTTAACTTTTAAATTGCCAATGGTACGTTTGACCTTTTTTTTTTCCTCAACCAAGAGGTCTCACATGTTTATTACTGAACCAACCTATAGGTGCTGAAACATCATAACAGAGAAAAGTCAATTTCCTGATAAAACAGATCTACTGGTCAGGCAGTAAGGATGTGATGGTGTAGAAACATAACTTTCAGGCAGCATAAACGTGTGCCATCTCATGTTCGATCCCTTACAGACCCAGCTTCGTTCTTCTCCAAAGCCGCCTCTTGGAGTTGTATCGGATTTTATTACCAATTTTCATCTGAATCCACCGCGTAATGGGACGATTCTGCTTTTGTTTCTTGGCCAGGAATCGCTTGATCCTGAAAGACTTGTGAGAAGGCATGGCGAGAAACGGTCAGCCACACACACCACAATGGCAGAGAAGAGCAAAGACTGAACTTTTATTTATTTATTTGAGTATAGTTGACACACAATATTGCAGTTTCAATGATCGACTTAGTGATTTGTCAGGTTTGCACATTATGCTCTGTTCACCTCAAGTGTAGCTACATCTGCCACCTTACACTGCTATTAACAGTATCACTGACTGGATTCCTTATACCGTGCCTTTTATTTCCATGACTTATTCATTCCATAACTGAAAGCCTGTATCTCCCTCTCCCTTACTTGTTTTGCCCAACATGCTACTCCTCTTCCTTCTGGCAACCACAGTTTGTTCTCTATATTTATAGATCTGATTCTGCTTTTTGTTTATTCATTTTTTTTACATTCCACTCATAAGTGAAATAATATGGTATTTGTCTTTTTATGTCTCACTTATTTCACTTAGCATAATACCCTTAAGGTCCATCCACATTGTCTCAAATGACACAATGTCATCCTTTTATGGCTGCATAATACTCCATCGTGTGTATATGTATACATGTCACATTTTCTTTATCCATTCATGTATTGATGGACATGTAGGTTACTTCTATATCTTAGCTACTGTAAATAATGCTGCAAAAAACATAGGGGTACATATATATTTTCAAATTAGTGTCTTCATTTTCTTTGGGTAAATACCCAGTAGTGGAATTATTAAATTATATGTTATTTCTACTTTTATTTTTTGAGGAAGCTCCATACTGTTTTCCACGGTGGCTGCACCAATTCACCTTCCTACCAACAGTGCATGAGGGCTCCCTTGTCTCCACATCCTCATCAACACTTGTTATTTCCTGTCATTTTGATTTTAGCTTTCTAATTGGTGTAAGATAATATATCATTGTTGTTTTTATTTGCATTTTCCTGATGATTAGTGATGTTGAGCATCTTTTCATGTGTCTATTGGCCATCTGTATGTCTTCTTTGGGAAAATGTCTATTCAGGTCCTCTGGCCATTTTTTAATTGGATTGTTAGTTTTTTTTGGTGTTGAGTTGTATAAGTTCTTTATATATTTTGGTATTAATTCTTATCAGATACATCATTTGCAAATATCTTCTCCCATTCAGTAGGGTTTTTTTGTTTTGTTTTGTTTTGTTTTGTTGATGGTTTCCTTTGATGTACAAGAGCTTTTTATTTTGATGTAGTCCCAAAATTATTAAATGAGATGACTGGGTGACTCAGTCACTTAATTGTCTGATTCTTGATTCTCACAAACCGTGAGACTGAGCCCCACATGGAGCTCTGTGCTGACAGTGCAGAGTCTGCTAAAGATTCTCTCTCTCTCTCTCTGCCCCTCCCCTACTCTCTCTCTGAAAATAAATAAACATTAAAAAACTGAATATAAGAAAATTATTTAAGACCTCAAATAGCCAAAGCAACCTTGAGAAAGAACATGGTTGGAGGCATCACGCATCCTGATTTCAAACTATATTAAAAAGCCATAGTAATTAAACCATTATGGTAGTGGCCTAAAAATAGACATATAGATCAATGAAACAAGATAGAGCCCAGAAGTAAAGCCATGCATATATGATCAACTAATTTATGACAAAACAGCCAAGAATATATAATGGGGCTAAAGATAGTCTCTTCAATAAATGGTGCTGGGAAAAGTGGACAGTCACATGCAAAAAAAATCCCCAACCGACCAACCAACCACCCAACTGAACCAAATTAAATGAAAGAAAGAAAGAAAGAAAGAAAGAAAGAAAGAAAGAAAGGAGGATCACTATCTTATACCATTCACAAAAACTAACTCAAAATGGATTAAAGACTTGAACGTGACCTGCAAACCATAAAACTCTTAGAAGAAAACAGAGGGAGTGAGCTTCTTGACATCATTCTTGGCAATGATTTTTTGTATCTGACTCCAAAAGCAAAGACAACAAAAGCAAAAATAAAAAGTGAGACTATATCAAACTAAAGGCTTTTGCACAGCAAACATCAACAAAACGAAAAGGCAGCATTCTGAATAGGAGAAAATATTTGCAAATCATAGATCCAATATGGGGTTAATATCCAAAATATTTAAAGAACTCATACAACTCAATGGCAAAAACAAACAAAAATCAACCAATTCCATTGAGATATGGGCAGAGAATCTGAATAGGTATTTTTCCAAATAACATATACAAATGGTGAACAGGTACATTAAAAGGTGCTTGACATCACTAATCATCAGGAAAACGCAAATCAAAACCACAATGAGATGTCACCTCACACCTGTCAGAATGACTATTATCTTTTTTCGTTACTTTTTTTCTTTTAATTTTTTTCTTCTTCTTTTTTTTTTTAATTTTTTTACATTTATTTATTTTCGAGAGACAGAGCACAAGTAGGGGAGGGACAGAGAGAGAAGGAGACACAGAATCTGAACCAGGCTCCAGGCTCTGAGCTGACAGCACAGAGCCCAATGTGGGGCTCGAACTCACAAACAGTGAGATCATGATCTGAGCTAAAGTCGAGCGCTCAACTGACCGAGCCACTCAGGCGCCCCCAGAATGACTATTATCAAAAGACGGGGAGGGGGAGGGGGGACAAGAAATAACTGTGTTGGCGAGGAAGTGAAGATAAGGAAAACTTTGTGCTCATCTACAGTGAGGGGTAAGGGCTGTAAATTGGTGCAGCCAATATGAAAAACAGTTATGCAGATTCCTCAAAAACTTAAAATAGAACTATCATATGATTCAACAATTTCACTTCCAGATATTTATCCAAAGGAAACAAAAACACTAACTTAAAAAGATATATGCACCCTCATTTTCTATGCAGCATTTTTAACAATAGCCAAGACATATTAGCAGGTGTCTAACAATGCATGAATGTATAAAGACAATATGGTATGTAAATACAATGGAGTATTATTCAGCCATAAAAAAGAAAATCTTGCCAACTGACAACATGGATGGACCTTGAAGTCATTTTACCAAGTGAAGTAAGTCAGAGAAAGACAAATACCATATGATTTCACTTATATGTAAAGTAAATGTAAAATCTGAAAACAAACAAGCAAAACTGCCAAACTCCTAAGTACAGAAAATAGACTAGTGATTGTCAGAGGCAGGGGCCAGGGAATAGGCCAGATGCGTGAAGGTAGTCAAAAGGTACACACTTTCAGATATAAATTAAATGTCATGGGGATGAAATGTACAGTATGGTGACTATAGTTAATAACATTATATTGTACATTTGAGAATTGCTAAGGGAATAGATCTTAAATGCTCTTATTACAAGAAAAACACTAGTACTGTGAGAAATGTTAACTAGACTTACCGTGATGAGCATTTCACAATATATACAAATAGTGAATCATGTTATACACCTGAAATTAATGTAATATTATATGTTAATTTTATTTCAATTAAAGAAACTAAATCATAGAAGCTACTGTACGATTCTATTTCTCTGAATAATTTAAAATACACAGAAAAAAATGCTAGATACATAGAAGACACTTAAATTGATAAATTTGTTGAAGAATTGCACTGAATTAAATTCTAAATAATGTTTGATTTTAAAAAGCATGCAATTTTGAGTTTAGCCAGTACAAACTTCATTGGAACTTTTTCTTAAGTGAAAGTCCACATGGAAAATAAGAGATAAAGGTAGAATTGTATTGATTGAAACAGGGGATCCACATCATAACTGCCCACTGTCCCCAACCTTCTAACCTAAATACCCCTCCACCACAAAAATCTTTGGAGAAGCTCTATGAATCCCCTAAAGTTTATCAGAACACTTAAACATGAGCCTAGTCTCATAATATACCTGATAATCCTTTGTAAGTGAAGTGTGGCTTCTTAATTAACTAATGCTTTAGTAGCTTTTCCCTTTGGACATCTATAAAGGAAAAATATGAATACTTCAATCTTTAGATTCTAAAATCAAAAGTCATAAGATAGCCCAAAGAGATTTGTCAAGATCTGATGAAAAATGCATTCAAAATAATGACTCAAATGAATCAAAATAAAAACAACAAAGAAAACAAAGAAAATTCTCTTCTCATCCAGACTTCTCAGGAGTCACATAAACAGCCAGCTATAAACCCAAAGAGAAAAATCACCTTTGATCATAGTTTGGCATAATTACATGTCCCTTACAATCTCTGCTCACTGACTCCAACATTAGGAATGTCTGTGTCCTAATATTATGTGGATATTCATTTTTTTCAGAAGCCAAGTTACGTGTCTTGTATCAGACACACACTCATACTTCCGAATTTCCATGAAACAATTCTGTCTGCATTTACTCAAAATGCAACCTGAACAAAAAACTATTCAGAACTTGATTATAAATAGATTCTTTTGTTAGTTAAAAATCTGGTTCCTTTCCTGACAGCGAAATGCCTTTTGGAGCTGCTAAATATTTATTTTAAAACCTCACCTAGCTCCTAAAATAGTAGATTCACCTTTTATAAATCATAAATGAAAGAATGGTCTAAAACTTAAATGCAATTATCTTATAAAATAAAGTCCTGTGGAGCTTATTTAAACTCAGACTTCAAAATATTGATTTTTACTTTCAATAATACATAACCATTACATTTAATACCTATTTTCTCTACTGATATATCCACATTGATTTAAGTAACAGTAGGAAGAATTTTATATAGCTGTCAAATCTCTCAGTCAACTATATTTTAGAGATCTACTTTCCCAGTTGTTTGAATAGCCTTTATAATAAGGTACATGAAATTTGTAAGTAAAGCTAAAATAGATTGTGAAAAATCTTAGATTATTTCTTATTAGACGATGTAAAATTTATGAAATACCAAGAAGAGCTTTTATATTCCATCTTCAAAATTCATTTTATACTTCTTTTATTGTTTGTATGGATTCACATTTGCTTTAAATGTACATGTGTTTTGTGGAGGACAGGGAACAGTATGTCCAAAGACGTTGTCATATGACAGCATCTGATGTAGCATTTTAAACATTATTTTGACATCTCTAATAAAAATCAGGACATACTTCAAAGTATACATCAAGAACTATTACTTATAAACGCAGAGCAAATGAAATGGAAAATAATAGTCCCAGCAATTTAATTTGGATTACATCTATCCATGTTTACTTGCTTCTGTACACTTAGACGCACTAATGCTAAAAAAATTAATGTTGGCAAGAGGAGCTATGCTAAAAACTTTTCCTAAGACATTAATTCCCTCTTATTTTTGGAATGCATAATCTGTAAATTTTACTGACATTGTAAATCAATCAAAAGTGCTTAGAATACCAAATGAGTGTATGCTTCATAGTTAAATGTAAAATAATGGAAAAGATGAAAAACATTACTGCACCACTGGTATGGTGGGAACGCTTATCTAATTACACAGCTCATCAGTTCCTGCCAAATAAAAGGGCAACAGCCAGGTGGAGCATCTTGATTTGCTATGTAGTTCTTTAACAGGAATGTTCAAAAATATTTTATTAAATTTGAAAGAGGTAATCATCAAAGATCAGTTATTAATCCACCCAGAAAAATGTAC